AACTCATGAATTATCTATGAAACTACTCTGAGAAGTTACTTCTTAAACCCAGTTATCTGTATCTGGATAGTGTCATTAATATTGTTTAACCAGGTCTAATTGTATTAATTAACTCATGAATTATCTATGAAACTACTCTGAGAAGTTACTTCTTAAACCCAGTTATCTGTATCTGGATAACTTCAGAATAGTCAGATAATGGAGCAATAAAAAAACTCGAGTAACTTCACTTCAAATTCAATATTAAAAAATATATATTAAAAATACATATTTGGAAAAAAATTCAGCTCCCCGGTTCAGCAGTTTGGCCGACTATAGAAAACATATATATGAATGTCTTGTTTTATTATATAGTAATTTATACTATGTTCTACCAGAACTCGTGAACCTTTTAACCGATTTTCATGAAATGTTCTAGGTTTGGTTTAATTATGGCACTTAGTAGAACCACGGTAATAATCTAGGTTTGGTTTAATTATGGCACTAAGTAGAACCACGGTAATAATCTAGGTTTGGTTTAATTATGGCACTAAGTAGAACCACGGGAATGTTCTAGGTTTGGTTTAATTATGGCACTAAGTAGAACACGGGAATGTTCTAGGTTTGGGTTATTTAGGGCACTAAGTAGAACACGGGAATGTTCTAGGTTTGGTTTAAAAAATTTTGTTCAGTGGGACGACCTTCATAAAGAAGCTAAGTTTCCAGGCTAAGCTGGGTTTCCAAGCAAAAAAGTATATAAAAATCCAATTAGCGAATAAATAATTTGCCCGCTTAATAGTTTTTCTGTGTTTAAGGTTAAACTTTGTGAAGGGGGGCTCGGAGCACCACGAATAGAAGATGTTCATTGGTTAGATTGGATTCAGCTCCAGGTTAAGTACATATACAGTTACACGCAGTATGTACTTTATAGTATTTGCGCACAGTATGCAGCACTACCTTGTACATTGATGTTCCCTGTACACTACAGTGTACTGTATTCTCTGTATACTTCTCAGAATGTATGTTGAACCAAATAATCTCTGTCTTGTACATTCTATGTACATTGTACACTTTATTTTCTGTATACTACATACACAGTTTGTACAATGTACATCGTTTGATGTATTCTCTGGATTAAACTTAATGTATATTTTTCAATATACTTAATATACTTACATTAGAGTATGTATTTATTGAGCAGTGTACAGTATTTTCTTCATTGCACATTTTAATGTGAAATGTGAATAATACATACATTTTACAAAAGTCAAATCAAATTTTGAACCATATCACTAAAATGTTTTCAAATATTGTAATGGATGATGTGATAAATAAATATTTTAGGGTCTTCTTAATTCTGGAGCTTTGCTCAACTCTGGTTTCAAGACCACTCCAGGTCAGCAACTTTTATAGAGGAATGGGGGGGGGGGGGGATACTTCAACAATATTGAAAAGTAAATATCATGAGAGATATTTAGATATATACTTTGCTTGTCTGTTTGTTTGAAACCGATTAACGTCTGAACGGCTGAACCGATCGGGTCAAAATTTAGTTTGGGACCGTACCATGACCCAAGGATAAGTTTATGGACCGTCAAAATTTGAGGAAAAAAACTGGAAAATAGTTGCATTTTATTAAATGCGCCCAATTCGAAAAAAAATCAGCAAATATTTGAAAATGATTTAAAATTGCCAACTTTCAGAACAACAGTGTTAAGGTGAAATTATTTACAGGAAAGGGAGTGCCTAGTTTTAAATACTTTGGAAACAAGAATTTTTAAATACTTAAATTTCAAGTTATAATTATTGTGGGGATATATACTAAACACCTTAACTTTGAAATGAACGGTTTTTTAATACTTTGGTTCAAAGAACATATTTAAAATATTCAGGGAATGGATAATTTAGTTTAGTATTTTGCTTGGGAATCTGTTTGTTTGTATGTTTGTCTGTATCCTATAAATGTCAAAGCGGCAAAGCCGATCCGGCCCAAGTTTTTTGTGGGACCTCACATGACCCCAGGGAAGGTTTATGAATGATCAAAATTTAAAAATAAGCCTCACACATAATACGATTTAATTTTAAAAATCCACGACATTTTTTTTATAAAATCCGCCAACTTTTGTTTTGTTTTTGCTTTACAATGTATACAAAGAGAAAATGTTGACAATTGAAATCCAATTTAGATATAAAGGGTGTATAATGCCAAATTCACAAAGGTACCCATAAAAACTTTGTTTGATGAAGCATAAATTAGATATAAATTTTTATTATTTAAAAACTGCTTATTTTTAATTGTGGGTTCTCTACAAAAGGGACTAGCGCATTTCTGCTGCAGAAAAATATAGGAATCAGATAATGATTTCAAGTGTATCATTGTGAATCGGCCATTGCAACTTTTGCATGAAGATTCAATTGAAATTACGCTTAATGAACAGGTGTTTTGGGATATTAAAAGAATTTTGACAGGGGTGCAATATTTCAAACTTTAGAAAAGAATGATGATTTTAGTTGGGAATTGAGTCTTTTGATCCTTTTATCTGTATCTTCGCAAACCAATGTTGTAGAAGGTTAATATATTATACGTGGACATTTCAAACTATAAATTTTGTTAGATTTAATCATCTAAGTTTAAAATATCTAAGGGTTTCACCATGCAGCAGGTAGCAAAGATATTGGGATTAGATTATCAGAGTTTGCAGTAAAGATTTTTCAAGTTGTATCAAATGCCATACTATGAGAAGAGTCCGTTTATTAAGGGTTTCTCTATTAATTATGCATGATAATCTAATTAATGCAGTTCTCTAGACTCTACCCACACACTAATATATACTGATTACACTTCTTATTAACTATTATCTTCTTGTCGTTTCTTAATAATAATCACTCCGGGGAAATTAGGTTTCATTAATTTTTTCTTCAGACTTAATCCTAGACTTTCTAAGATTAGTGTCTGAAAAGAAAAAGTGTAGAGCTGATTGAACCTATTATGCGAATTTGTCTCTAACTTTCTGTTTTAGTCGTATTATCATCGAGGCAAACAAATGTTATTTACTTTTCTTCAGTTTAGAACGCTGAAAAGGCTACATATGATTTTTTAACGGTTTTGGACATTTCATAGCAAAACATTTTATATATAAGATTTTTCGTATATTAGTTAGGTTAATATCTGTCACCAAAATTATCTTTCTTAATACACTATTATTTTAACGATAATTCTAATAGTGTGTTCTTTTCCAGGACAATTTATTTAGTCATGTGATAAGGTTTAGCATCAATAATATTGATCAAGAGGAAGGTTTCGGTACTTTACATGGTGCTGGATATCAAAGAGGAATAAAAATGAAGATCAATGTTTAATCCTCAGATTCAAGCACAAAATTTTTGACCTCAGAAAACAAAATAGATTTTTTATCTCGAGACTCATGATATGCAAGTAAAATAAGGAAGTAAATCTCTCCACATCTTCTATATAATAAAGCTCTTCGCTTATATATATATATATATAGGTTAGCTATAGCTGGCCAAATGGCTGGACCAAATTGACTGAATTTTTTTGAGGAAACCAATGGATACTTAGGTGGTGTAACAAAGGCTGAAAAAATCTGGGTTTTTTAAATAAGAAATTTTTTTCAATTTGTTTTTTAATCTTCGGGCACCGCCGGGGACTTGAGCTAGTTTAATAGTATATATATATGAGTCAATTCTGATTTTATTTTAGGAAGTATTGGAAGCCCGGGAGGTGGTTCCTGTACTGTAGGAGGAAACAATAACAGGAAACCAATCCTTGATATAACAGTATACCTCCCTCNTAGTGTGTTCTAAACTATAAATAAAGGAGTGAGAATAACCCTCTCCCCCTTCTGATTTTTAATGCTGTGGGGAAAATGAAAAAGACAAGTGTTTTCCTACTTTTAAATAATTTCATTTATTACCCAAAAATTCAATAATTTTCCATAATTGAGCGGATATACCCTTTTAAAAATGTTTATTTCACCGGAAACAAACCTAAAGTTCACAATCCTGTTCAAATGTATTTCATCTAAAAATTGCGGAGTCCAAGTAGAGTTAGGCAATAGACGTAGCTATAAAAGGAAGGCGATTTATTAGCCTAAGATCGCGCGCACGAGAAGATACAAAAACTAAATGTTTGTTTAACTTCACGATGATTAGTTAAAATACCCTCTAGATCATATCGATAGCATATAATTGTGTAATGGAAAAGTTTTATTTTACTTATTAAACATTGCAGTTCGAGACAAAGTTTAATTCAAATTGTTAATGGAAGGTTAATCGACCTAGTTTTTAATTTATTCAATTAAGACTTTCTTAGTAACCATGATAGGGGATTAACAAACTTTGTTGAATAGCAAATTAGAAATCTTTCATATTTGTGCAGTCTCATTAAATATTAAAATAGGTTAGGAAGAAATGGGGTCGTTAGTCTTATTAAAGTCTTTTTTAGTCGGTCAAGTTCTTCTAATATGATTAAGAGGCATGGCTTAAAATTTTATAAGCAATTCAGAAATCAATTTATACAAGCACATTGCAAAACGCAAAAATATTAAAAAACTATGATTGAATTTTTTTAAGGATTTTAATTCGCAACCCAATGTTGTAGACCTTATATATTTCAAACTTTGTGTGAATAAATAATTGTAAGTTTGAAATATCAAAGGTTTGCACCACCAAGTTGCAAAGATTTAGGGTCTCGAAAATTTAAATATGTGGCAAACACAGAATCCTTTATTGTCTGTTTTTAATTCAGATTTTGATGCCTTAAATTTCTTTTCCTTTTTTATCTTTAGAAGGTTTTGTTCATGAATGAACTAAATACATTGCTTCCCTTTCTTTCTTCCAACTAATGTGCAAATAATACTAATTGGTTTGAATGTTTGAAAATGAATTCCTCAGGAAAAACAATTCTTCTTAGTGACTACTTTCTGATGATGATAAAAACTTTGAACAATCATGGAGGTAGATCTAATTAAATATTTAATTAATAAGAGATTATAGAACTGGGGGTTTAGAGCAATAAGGAAAACTAAAGTTTTCTCACAGTCTGGAATCATCAAGGACATCTTTAAAAACTAAATTTCCTGGTTTTTAAACCTTGAAAGGAGAGCGGACGTTACTTTTATAGAGTGCTATTTCCGATTCACATATACATACACCTTTTTAATTTTTGTCTCATCAATGATGAATCTGATCTTACTTTTATCGCGGAATATAGATTTTTTTCTACCGTGCTTTGTATGGATATTGAGGAAATTGTCAAATTGTAAAATAAAAATCAACGATATCTTTCTCATTATTGCCAATATTGAGGTTTTAAGTGGTTGGTTTCTTAAAATGACGTTGGTAATTCCTTAAAGCATTTTTGGGAGTTTAGCTTATATGCACTTTCCTTGATCTTTAACGTGCCGGTCTGACATGTTTTTAAATCCAATCTCTTTCAATTATTTTGGAAATGTCCAAAAATAAATGATGGGGTCGGTTTTCAGGGTTTTCAGGGGCTGGAATGGCTTTGAGAATCCTGAAGTATTTTTACAAGAGGGAACAATTAAATAAAGGGAATACTGGAACTCTATTAAAATAATTTTGTTCACTTTTGCATTAATCATTTGAAAATTAGGCAAAATAAAGTGCAAGAGAAATAGGAGGAACAGCGTAAGAATTTTGACCTTCGATTGTATTTAACATATCTGATTTTTCTCTTCTCCCTTGGTTTGCCAATTTTTAAACCAGTGCTTAGGATCTGGATCTGTTGGATCCGCATCATTTTGGCTTACTGGATCCGAAACCTACAAATTATTTTGATCAATGGATCCGGATACAAAGAAGTAAAATATCAACCAAAAACTGCAATCATAAAGCTTTTTCTCTAAAAACCCAAATATGAACTGTTGAAAAAGAGAGATATCAAAAAAGTTTTAGCATAAAAATAACAAAAAAGAAGAAGAAAAATTATTTAAAATTTTTCTTCTGTTTAAAAAAATGATAAAATCTTGAGTTAAATCCGAATCCATTTTTTTAGTGTGGATCAAGAATCCAGATCCGCATCAAAATTAAATGGATCATAAGCTTTAAACTATGACCTAAGCTATGGTTCCAACTGGTTGTTGTATGAGAAAGGATTGAATGTATACAGACTGAAGTGCTCCCTAGCTAGTGATATTTGGTCCTATGGAACCCTGCTTTGGGAGATTTTTAGTAAAGGGGAACCCCCACTACCCAATACTCCGCCAGTAGAAGCATGCAAGTAAGTTTTATTTTTTAAGTATTTTAAAATTATTTTCGGGATTTTATCATCAACGGCATTTCTGTTGCTATTGTCATTAATTTAGCGAAAAAAATTCTCCGGCTTCAATAATTTTATTGTTGATTTGATCTGTAATTTTCATGCTTGTTACTGCCGTTGCAGGTGTAATTTAGATTGATCTTCCATTTAAGGAGGAGCATGGTCCCATTCACAACAGTACACTTTACCTTTTATCTGGTCAGTCTTCTATTATTTCCTCCATTGTTTCTGCAGAAAGGAATCCGCAAGTGACTTTTATAGAAAAGTCACAACTGAAAATAACCAAGTTTTCATTTCATTCTTGAAAAGAAAAGTTTTTCTGTTTTAAGAATACCGTTGTGATCTTGACATGCCACTCCATACATAGACGTTTGTCATTCATTCAATACCATTCTTGTAAATGGTTTTTTCTTTCTTCTTCTTGTTAAACCTTTTATTTATTTTTAATTTAAAGGCAATATATCTCTGGTGTTCGGTTGAAATGGCCCTTGGGATCCCAGCTTAAACAGGTGATGTTTCAATATTACAATATTTCAATATTACAATATTTCAATATTACAATATTTCAATTTTACAATAGTTTCAAAAGAAATTTAACAGCATTTCAATATTTCAATGTTTAAACGTTTTTTACATAAAAATAGTTTAATGTTACACATATTACAATATTTTAATGTGTCAAATATTGCAATATTTCAATGTTTCAAATATATCAACATTTCAATATTTCAAATATTGCAATATTTCAATGTTACATATATATTACAATATTTCAATTGATTGAATCTGTACCCTGTACAGTATCGAAAGGTAAGCTTTTGAGTAACCCAGATATAATTTTGTAGTGTACACTGTACATTTATGTTCTTAAACTAGCCGAATAACAATAGGAATAACATCTAAACTATTTTATAAGAATAAAAAATGGCAGACCACATTTTGGAAATTTCAACGTTACGAGCTACAAGACCTCACTTAAATTCTTGATTAAGTAAATTCATTTAAACTCTTAACAGTGTAATTTGTTTGATTTGATTTGATTTGATTTGATTTGATTTGATTTGATTTGATTTGATTTGATTTGATTTGATTTGATTTGATTTGATTTGATTTGCAGGACTATGGCTATTTTGCAATTGTTTTTCAAGAATGATACTTGTAAAATTAAGTTGAGAAATAAATGCCACAAATTATTTCAAAATTAAAAGACAATTTTCAAGTCCTCTCAATTGTTTAAAAATAACGTATATTTGTAAAAGTAATCAAATAATTAAATATCAAGACTTACAAGACCAAATTTGCTATTAGTATTTTAGAGAGGTATTAGCAAAGTCAATTTAGCGATTGTAGTTAAATGAAACTCCTTTTAAATTTAATTTATCTAAAATTTTAAGATTTTTAAGAATATTGAACTTAAAATTTACTTAAGCTCGCAGTTTTTTTGGTGTCATCTTTATTTTGAAGTTAACTATTTAGTTAACTAAATTACGGATTTGAATCTGAAAGTACTTTGGAATGAAGTTTTTGCCACAAACTCGCATTTTCTAACGTAACCTCTATATCTTTGCAGACTGATGATATAAACCTTTGATATTTCAAACTTAAACTATTTGATCTAACAGAATTAATAGTTATAAGTATCAAAGGTCTAGGAAAACAGGTTGCAAAGTCATAGGAATTAGAAGATCAGAGTTTGTGGCAAAAACTAAATTCCTTTGGCAATTTTGTTACAGTTTTTAGTGAAAAAAAATTGAACTCGTGCTTGCCTCTTTCTTTGTAACCAAGGCCCGTCAAAACTGTTTCCCAGATGAGGTCAACATTTATTGTGGTAACTTACAGGGTTACTCCAAAGGATGAGACTATAAAGACGACCGGAAACTCTTGAAATATGACAGTCCCCGTGTTAATATATGTATTCTACCTGAGATATAGTAACCTATAATGGCTTATTCAATTATTTGATAAAGGAAACAAAATGTTTACAGTTGCAGGGAATCGTATTGTAAGGAAACAAACGGTATAAATTTCGTACAAGCGCATATAAATTTTTGAAATCTGCAAATATACAGTACAAAAGATTTGGAATGAAAGATTGGCAAAATTTAAATGTAATTTTTTTTATAAAACCTTAAAATATAAAGGGATTAAAAAATGGTTGTGTTTAGGTTGAAATGATTATGATGAACTGCTGGAGCCCTTTACCAGAGCAGAGAATTAAACCACAAACAATCATGCGAGATTTGAACCAAATACTTTACAGGGTAATAACTCTACAAAGAAACCGTTGCGAAAATAAAATTTTGTGGCAAAGTCTTCATTTCTTTTCTTTAACTTTTGGGCTTAATGCGTAATTCATTTTTTAATCCTATCATGAAAAATGTAAAATTTTTACCCTTTGCTTTTTCTCTTCATATTGAAAATAATTTTGTAACTTTGACAGTGAAAATGAATTTAGATTATTATTAATGGTCCATATTTTCTTTTATAGAAGGTTTTAACAAAGCAAATTTATATTCTAAATTGAGACTTAAGCTTGACTGAAAAAATATGTTTGTAATAGTTAAGTAATAAATATATATGTTGATAAATACCTTGATCGCTTCGGATCCGGATCTACAGAATCCACATCATTCATGCAGGGGGGGGGGGGGAGGAGGGGTTCGTGAACTGAAAGATATGTTCCTGCAATACGAAAGTAAAAATTTTGAACTCGAACTTTTTATTCATTTTGTTATTAAGCCCCAACGGTAAACATATTATGACATTACTATTGCTTCAAATACATCAATTTGATATTTTTGTTAAATAGAAAGTTATTTAATGTAAAAATATTATAGTTCTAAATAACAGGAACATTATTTACAATCTCAACTTTTTTCATTACTAATTTGTCCACTGTTACAGAAAATAGCAGTACACAGAACACTTTAAAGGTTTATAAGTTCTAAAAAGTGTGCCGTTATAAAGGTTAAGTAATGTTCAAGACGTGTCAATGATTATGTAATATTTCTCCAGGTGTTCAACTCTGGGCGTGCCAATGATTATGTAATATTTGTCTGGGTGTTCAACTCTAGGCGTGCCAATGATTATGTAGTATTAGTTTAGGTGTTCAACTCTAGACGTGTCAATGATTATGTAATATTTGTTTAGGTGTTTAACTCTAGACGTGCCAATGATTATGTAATATTTGTTAAGGTGTTCAACTCTAGGTGTGCCAATGATTATGTAATATTTGTCTAGGTGTTCAACTCTAGGCGTGCCAATGATTATGTAACAATAGATTCCGGTGTTACTATCTCTACAACAGCAATATCTAGTCCTGGTACACCTCCCACTCCTCCACTCACATCTACACTACCTTGTTCAGCAGATAGAGATCAAGGGACTCTAGTACCTGTATTCACGGAGCACACTAGGTACAGTAGGTCGCCGTATTTATCAATCCAATAAACCTGACGACTTTCTGTCAAGAAGTGTATTTAATATTCCCTGCAGCTGTGATTGAAATCTCTCCCCATAATATTAGGGAACGACCCCCCCAAAAAAAAAAAAAAAAATATTACTATATATTGCAATAAATATATCAAAATTTATTCATATTTCAGGGATATTCATTATCACTACCCGAATTAATGTCCTAAAACAAAGGAATTTCAAAAGTAAAGACTATTTTCCCATTAAATTAACAGGTTCTCTACTTTTGTCTGGCTGTACGTGTATTTGTTTCCGGTGGATAAAAGCATACATATGAAATCGGCATCAGTGTATTAATAAACACGCCGACCACCCTATAATGTAAACAAACATGTTTTTACTTGGTTTTGAAATGTATATTTTGTTTATTAGGAATCTATTTGAATCAAGTATAAACCAGTTACTAAACTTTACCGGGTTCGGAGAAACAGACTCAACCTCACCACTCATCAACGACTCAGAAAGGTAATCAATACATTTGTTCAGTTTTCAAGTTTCAATGTAACCAACGACTTAAAATGGTAATCGATTAGTTTGATCAGTTATCAACAACTCAAAAAAGTAACCAAGGAATTTAATTTGTAATTAACGATTTAACGTGATCCGTTATCAACAATTCAGAATAATCAACTATGTAGTGATCCGTTATCAACGATTCAGAATGATAATCAACTATGTAGTGATCCGTTATCAATGATTCAGAATGATAATCAACTATGTAGTGATCCGTTATCAATGATTCAGAATGATAATCAACTATGTAGTGATTCGTTATCAATGATTCAAAATGATAATCAACTATGTAGTGATCCGTTATCAACGATTCAGCATGGTCATCAGCTCATTATATCCGTTATTAACTACTCAACAAAGTAATAATAAAAAATGTAATCAGTTATCAAATATACAGAAAAGGGTGATATACATTTTGATTCGTTATCAACGACTCAGAATGATAACCAACTATATTTGATCCGTTATCAACCCTCTGATCGGTTATCAACGAATGGTTATAACCTACTTTGAACCGTAATCAAAGGCTTATAAGGGTAATCAACTACTTTGTTCCGCAATCAACGACACCAAGAATCTAATCAGCGACTCTAAAAAATCAATCATATAATCTTAACATGTACTTAAAATTCAGGAATAAAAACATTTTTAACCTCATAAAAAATTCCATATCAATGTTTTTTTTTAAATTTTTATTTTACGTCTATTTTGACAAACAACCTTTTTTATGTGGATTTGTTAGACCCTTAAATTGAAATAAAATATAATTAGATCAGTTTTTACCTCAAAACTTTCTTTAGTGACAAAGAAGTGAAATAATAAATAACTGATTTAGTCTAGATATATTGAATTTCTTGTTTTTCTTCAGTTCTGTAAATATTTAATTTTGAATATTTATCTACAATCTTGATGATTTAAACTCTTTCAGCTATTTCAAAACTTCGGAGTTTATTAAACTTTCCTAATTCTTTAATTAACTTAACACTCAGCCATTTAATATAATTTTTTCATCTAGATTTTATTATTTATTTTAAACTCCTTCTTTATATTGAATAAAGATCTTCTAGGAGACAACCGTAGAAAGAAAAAAAACATTGTTAAGAGAGAAGAAATTAGTTTGAGAAGGTTTTATAATTATTTCGGTCTTTGATTTGTGCATACATGGCATCAAACAAACTTAAATCTTATTCAGGACATTCTTCATGTAAAGTTGAGACTACCGCAGAACATCAATTAGAATTTAAAATTTTCAGCTCAGTCTTGACAATTTACTCCCAACACACAAACACCCTAAACGTGTCAAACTTTCAAAACTTCAATTTCAAACTTTGCTTTTGCAATTTTCTTACTTCACAAAATTTCACAATGTTTGCAGCATCAATTTTAAAGGGACTGGCAACGTATTAAATTTCCCTGGAAGCAATGTAAACTGTCGTCTTTCTTATTTGCTTTAGAAATCCACCAAGAAAATTATACAAATCAGACATATACAGAAGTCAGCACATTTTGTGAATCTCGGATATACCGTGGTGATCGTACCCTGCAGGGATAATTAAAATGATGGGATCAAGCACTCACTTCTCAAATTCAAAAGTTGTTACTGTGAATATCGAGATCAAGCGCTATTTCACACAACAGTTTTGACTTCTGTTTACAAAATAACTTATCTTGTTGTTTTCTGAAAATGTTTGTCGCTGATCAATGATCACTGATCATTCTGCAGAGCAACTGTTAGTGTTCTTCATCTAATATAATCCAGAAATTCATGATGTTTTTGTTTTGTGTCAGTTCTTAAACAGGAGAAGGAAGAATATTTGTTATACTTCCCTGGATAAAGAAGGGGACAATTTAGAAATTTAATTACAGTCCTTTACTGTTTAATTTTTACTTTTTCTTTTCGTCGTCGTTATTTAATAATTTTAAAAAACTGATTTTGAAAACGTACCCACCCGAATTCATTATTTTGAACGTCGACTGTGCGCTCAAACTCAGTAATTATACATCGTGGAAACTTTTAATATATCTCAAATTAAACCTGAAGAATTTGTCCACAACACTGCATACTCAGTTTAACTACCTTACATGGCCGGTCTGTCCCTTTAAACCTACATAAAAATTTGCTAGAGCTGGTTCCAAAAATAAAACAAACAACCTTCTAAATCAAATCCTGGACCGTACATGGTTGAAAATAAGTGGGACTAATTATAATTCTACATTGTCCCCTTCAAATCCTGGACCGTACATGGTTGAAAATAAGTGGGACTGTAATTATAATTCTACTTTGTCCCCTTCAAATCCTGGACCTTACACGGTTGAAAATAAGAGGGACTATAATAATAATTCTACAGTGTCCCCTTCAAATCCTGGACCGTACATCGTCGAAAATAAGAGCTAATTAGATGGTTAGGAACTTATATCTAAAGAGAATTTTGTAAATAAATCAATGCTAGAATCAATTATTTCGTTTTCATCATTAAATTGAATTTCTTATTTTTCAATGAATTTATTCGCAGATTTCTACAAATTCTTTAAATGTCGTCTTTTCAATAATAATTCCAGAAAATCTGCAGAAAATCTTTGTGAATAATGAGAAAATAGAAACTAATAATTAAACAAGAATCTTATTTTCTATGATATGATTAATTTTTATTTTCTCAACCTGTTCCTAAAAACTAATTAGTTTACTGTAGAATTTTGTTTCCTTTTTATCGTCGTCGTAATTTAATAATTTAAAAAAACAATTCTGAAAACGTATCCACCCAAAATTTCGATTTTGAACGTCGACTTTGCGCTCAAACTCAGGATTTACAGATCTTTAAAAAGTTTTATATGTCTCAAATGAATCCTTAAGAATTTCCACAATACTGCATACCCAGTTCATCTACCTTACAAAGCCGGTCTGTCCTTTTAATACTGATTATTTTTTACACCATTTTGATTAAATATGTCAAGGGTAAAAGAAAATTGATAATGTTTGCTGGGGCACAGGGAAACATGTGCAATTCATATTTCTTGGGGGAATCGTGGGCCGGTAATGTTGGTCAAATTATTTAATATTAATTAGATTTTCAAAGAAATTTTATAATTATTTTGGTGTACCCTGATTCCTACTGTATGTAGGAAGAATATATTTTGTAATTTCCCTTGACGTTTTCAATTAAATGACGTGCAAAACAAAGTGGAACACTGACTTGTAGCTCTTCTTCTAGATTTATCTTCCAGATGCATTAATTATTCACGGTTTTTTCCATTTAAAGGAAGGATCGACGATTCTTACGAATAAAGGAAGAGAAAATTTAGATTGAACTTGGGAAATCGACATTTATAAATATAGGCCTTGTCTGATGAAGTATGAATTAGATTTAATGTTAATAATTTAAAAAATATCTTCTACATTAATACACTACAGGTTTTACAGGGGTACTTTAAATTACGCTTACAGTCCCTTTAAGAATTGGCTTTACGAAAAGAAACAGAAGGAAAATAAAACTAATGTTTAAAGGATAATTTCCAAAAGTTTACTTTAAAAAAAACTAATGAAATTTATACTAGGAATATTTTCAGTTCAAGTTCTCTGTACAATTCTGATATATCAGCACTAACTTACCAGACAAGCCTGGATTATGGAGGAAACTACTCAATTACTTCAATATATCCGGTATACTATAGTTAATTACTCAATATATCCGGTATACTATAGTTAATTACTCAATATATCCAGTATACTATAGTTAATTACTCAATATATCCGGTATACTATAGTTAATTACTCAATATATCCGGTATACTATAGTTAATTACTCTATATATCCGGTATACTATAGTTAATTACTCAATATATCCGGTACACTATAGTTAAATACTCAATATATCCGGTATACTATAGTTAATTACATAATATATCCGGTATACTATAGTTAATTACTCAATATATCCGGTACACTATAGTTAATTACTCAATATATCTGGTACACTAGTTAATTACTTCAATATATCCGGTATACTGTTATTAATTACTCAATATATCCGGTATACTGTTATTAATTACTCAATATATCCGGTTTACTAATTAATTATTCAATATATCCGGTTAACATAGATTATTGCGTCTGAAAAATTAATCTCTTGACGTTTGAATAACTGTTCAAAATATTTTTTCGAACGTTTTCGTCTTATCGATTGAATAACTTTTCAAATATTTATAAAATGAATTCGTCTTAAGGAATAAATAACTTTTGTCCATATTTTTCTGAGTTTTCCTTACCATTTATTGACGTATGATTTTTAATATTTTACAAAAAGCTCTAAACTGTTATACCTCATTAAAAACATTTTTTTTAAGTTTTACGAAGAGGGATAAATTGATTCAAGGATTTAATGCAAGGAAAGGTATTTCAGATGTGTACGCATCTTTTGTACTGCAGTGTACTGTCACTGGGCGGTAATGTAAACGTAAGACGGATGTCGAAGCCTGACTTGGGATCCATCTTTCACATTAATAATTAAGGAAATATTCTGGTTATCGGAAACTATTATGTGAATTGTCAAGATTATCAAAATTCAATGCTTTTAACCTCCTCGGATACTAAACGAACACTGCGGCATCTATTCTTGTTTACAAATTCCGCCCAGAGAGAACTGATTTCAATATGTACGCAGAGTATACGCAACTGCAATTAACTTTCCTTGCATTACATTCTTGAAATGAGTGATAACTAGTGTTTAGTCCAAAAAAAGATATTAAATACAATACGCATTTTTTTCATTTTTGTTAAAAATTACTCATAAGTATATACATATTACTCATATGTATATACATATGAGTAATTTTGATACGAACATCACAAACAACTTGAAGTGTTTTAATTGAACTATAAATCCAGGTGTAAGGGATATTTCGAAGCTTTGAAATATAAATTTTAAAATTTAAACTTGTAAGCTAAGCTAACTTTACATACATCAGATAGAAAGCATGATGTACTGACACTATATTATTTAGTTGGAAGATGATCAGATTGAGTACAATACAGATTTCCCATTGGGAGAAGGAAACTTTGGGATTGTTTACAAAGGTGTACTTACTAAGAGTGACGGGGACTGGGAACAGGTGAGAACTGTACATTTACAAAAAGAGTTATGTACAATAGGTGCAGAGATGGGCATATTAGACTTTTTTCATTTCGATCATTCGTGAACGACCCATTTCGTTCGGTTTTTTTCAATCGTTCAGAAAAAAACTTTTTTTTTCAAAACGTTTTTAGGAAAAATCTCTAAATAGATGGCATTGGAGAAAACGTATATCTACAATCTATATTTAACGTCAGCAGTGACATTTATATTTTTAGGGTTTTAACAAATTATTCGAAGATCAATTTAAAGTAATTTAAACTAAAGTGCTTTAGTTTGTAGCAAAATTAGTTCAGTTTATTCTGTTTTCTATTCCATGTCCTCGACACTAGATTATTATGTAAACTAAGTTGATGATTGGACATCAAAAACAGTTTACAGCCCTTTAATAACTGGCATGAAGAAGTTGAACTAGGCACGAATAGCTGAACTATTTCTCTTGTGTGACCGAAAGTGCATTAGTGAAGTACTTTAACTAGTCATACCTATTTCAACTACTTCAAGCTATTAAATCCACCTTAGCTCTAGTCAATCCCCATTATAATACCTATTACAATGACGTAAAAAGATATTTAAAACGAAAAAAAACAAGTTTTCTTAGGAAAAGATTACGAAACATGAAAATATGCTTAAAATGGAAAACTTCAACTTAATACTTCTAAACTTCTGTGACTTTTTCGTGCTTGATGAACATTGAAAAACATTTCTCAGAACCGATAAACTTTTTGCGCATTTATGTTGTACTTCTTTAGAAAATGCACTTACAGCAACAGTTACTTTGAAACTAAATAATACCTCTTTTTCGTCAAGTTTCTTTTCATCTATTCCTTCAGTTCAAAGTTCAGTTTATTTTATGCATTTAGCACTTATAACAAAATTCGACTTATCTTATAAATTAAAGATGCATATTTTTCAGAATTGGAATCTATAGCTTATTGACAAATCTAGAAATTTTCCCTGAAAGAACAAATCTAAGGATAAAAGAAAAAACGGATTTTGTGGGGACAAGATATGTATATGNTTTTTTTTTTTGTTAATTGTTAGATGACAAATATTCTTTAATCCTGCCAATCTTTAACGATTATAATGATTGTCCATGTTCTCATGAACTCTGCAGCTTCCTGCCTTAGCTAAACTTAAATCTCAAGAATAAAGAGTTTAAAAAATGATTTTTTATTATATTAACCTGTAAAATATTTCTTTTTCTTTTCTATTTATCTAGCACTCCTAAGTAAAGGATTACAAAATTGAACGATGTTAGACAAACAAAACTCTATTTCATTTTATCTTTTATTGGTTGTCAACTTCCTCCTGCACTTAAAGTTTTGTTAAAGGGGGGGGGGGTATATTTTAATATTTAATCATACTTTTTGGATTCTCGTCTAATCCTTCATAAGAATTGAGTCTTTTCAACCAACCAAATTTTCTGATCAACCTTTATCTTTGAAACCTGATTGTGTAAAACTTTGATTTAACAAAATTAAATTTTATCATCTAACAGAATTCTTAGTTTAAAATGTTTAAAAACAGATGTAAAATAAAAGGGTCACTTGAAACTAAGCTTCAAGGAAACGTCAGTTTTTTAGCTCAGTGATTGGCACTTTTTTGAATATCTGACGTTAACGCTTTATCTTAAGTCGACAGGATAAATTCAAATAATCTGGTATTGTTAATGGTTTTTTATATTATAAACAAAAATCAAATAAATTTCGAGAATTTATTTTTGAATTATTACGCACATTAAACACACTTAAATGTTAAAATTGTGTAGCCGCATTTAGAAATATTTATTTTTAGAAGAACGAACATTTTTTATTATATCAAATTTAATCTATATAATAAAACAAGACATTCATGTATATGTTGTGTATATCGGGCCAAACGGCTGGATCGATTGGGCTGAAATTTTTTGTGGACACTCATGGGTGGCCAAGGGGTGTTATACGCTAAAAAATCGATACATTTTTTTCACGGGCAACGCCGGGGCCTTCAGCTAGTCTATAAGCGACATTTGACAGTAATCTAAATTGTGTTTACTGTATTTATTGTTAATCGATTGATTTGCCCCTGAACAATTATTTTTACCAGTGAAAACCCACGTTCCAAAGGAATTGAGTTTTCGCCACAAACTCTGGAAGTTTGAAATATCCTAGCCCTAAGCCAACAGGTTGCAAAGATATAGGGGTTAGAAAATTTGAGTTTGTGGCAAAAACTTGATATCATTTTTTATTGGTTATCGGTAGAGTGAAGCATCGTTATTATCCGTTAATAAACATCAAGGCGTTTGGTACTTTCAGGAAACTCAAATTTTAATTTTAAAAATCACTAAAAATTTGCTTTTGTTTCACAACGCAAAACCTTGATTTTGGTAGAAAATTTTTCTAACTGTTTTTTTGCTTTTGATTCTTTCTGAGTCAAAGTTGTAAATTATTTAATAAACATTTAACTTTGATTTACGTCGATTTTTTTAACGCCCTTAAAAAACTAAAATTTCTAAAAGAAGAAATAACGATTCCCAACTCTATTTATCGTTATAGTGTAAATACATAGTGTTGTACTGGTTTTCTCGAGGCCCAACAAATATATATCTGAGATTTAAAACATAAAATTTGAAAATATTTGTTTAAAAGATAGGTTTTATTACACTATACGCAAAATGTTTACTCTCAGCGAATAAGAAATAAATATTTAGAAATGTTTTTGCGAGAATTTTGTTTCAACAAAAATATTTGGAGTTTTCCACGCTCTTAATCTTATCATTATTGGGAGCTTTTGTAAAGAAGTAAAACACCTGGTTATTTCTACATTTTCCTGAAGTTTTCATTTCAAATAAAAGGGGTTTTTTAAACGCAAATAAGTGCCTAGGGTTCTTTATATATAATACGTATATATTATATATATAACTATAAAGCAATAATCAGAACAGGTTTCAAAATATCTACCAGTACCAACTCTGGTATCCCAGGTTTTAAAATATCTACCAATACCATCTCTTTGGTATCCCAGGTTTCAAAATATCTAATATTACCAACTCTGTTATCTCAGGTTTTAAAATATCTACCATTACCAACGCTGGTATCCCAGGTTTTAAAATATCTACTATTACCAACTCTGTTATCCCAGTTTTTAAAACATCTACCATTACAAACTCCGGTATCTCAGTTGTTTAAATATCTACCATTACCAACTCTGGTATCTCAGTTTTTAAAATATCTACCAGTACCAACTCTGGTATCCCAGTTTTTAAAATATCTACCATTGCCAGCTCTGGTATCCCAGGTTTTAAAATATCTACCAGTACCATTTCTGGTATCCCAGGTTTTAAAATATCTACCAGTACCAACTCTGGTATCCCAGTTTTTGAAATATCTATCATTACCAACTCTGGTATCCTAGTTTTCTAAATATCTACCATTATCAACTCTGGTATCTCAGTTTTCTAAATATCTACCAGTACCAACACAGAGAAAAAATAGGCGCTTAATACGTAAAAAACAGCTGATCTCTTGTTTTCTTTTAAGATATCCAGAAGAAATTAATTTAACTGTTAGACCACAAAAAATATATTAGTATTTTCTGAGGCCGAATTTAAAGAAATTGAACCACGTCGCTGAACCGCCAAAAACCGGACAGCCGGTTCCAATTGAGCGCCAGCTCGAATCTCGAAACACTGAATACAATTGCAAGACGCGGCACAGTTTTTTTTTAATTTGACCTCTAAATTGGATTAACAATTCACAAGTTTCTATCTCCGTTATCCTATAGGTTGCGGTGAAGATGATTAAGGATACAGATATTATGCCACAGTCTGCATTCGACGATATGGAACGAGAGATTGGTCTCATGAAACGTCTCTCTCATGAGAACATTGTCAAGATCAGGGGGTACATATCAAACATAGGAACCCACACAATCATCGTTATGGAGTACATCAGGGAGGGTAGTTTGGATAGGTAAGTTTAACCAACTAACTCCCTCCCTCCTACGTAATATTTTTAGAATTCACTGGAAGTTAATTTTAGGGTAAGTGAAGTAAAGAAAGAATCTGAAAATACTAGAATCAAATTCGAATTTTTTTCCTTTATATCTTTGCAAGCAAAAAAGATCAAAAAGGAAATTGTATGTAGGGGTGAAATATTTCATTTAAAATGCCAAATAATTTTTGCACCCGTAAAAATTATGCAGCAGCAAAAAAGCAACATTAGTAAAAATATTGAAAAAAAATTAAACTCATGCACCCGCAAAAATTATGCAACAGAAAAAAGGAACAATAGTAAAAAATTGCAAAAAATAAAACTCAACTGGATTTTAAAAAACGGCAACCAATAAGGAAAGGTTTTTTTATTTTGTAAGACAAGTTGCTGAATGCTGCCCATTTGTCCGTTTGTTAATATTTCAAAAGTTGTTAAAAATAAGTAATTTTATTCGATATTCAGAAAAATATTTTTCTTTAAAAAAACCGGGTTTTTGCTTAATGTTCAAGGAATTCTAAACTCGGTGTTTCAAGACGGATATTTGACTAGTACGAGTCGGCCATATTTGAAAGTTCTATAGTTCGTTGATGATGAATCTGTTCAAACTTTAAAACCTCTATACATGGTTACCAACAAAGAATGAGACTTCATACAATCATGGTTTCTGCAGCTATAACTTGTATGTTTCTTTGTCAAATCATCTAAATATACCATTAAAGGACTTTATTTCAGATTAAACCTCTAATCCAACCTTTAGATAATAAGGTTTAAAGGGTTTAAGGTCTTAATTTCTCATTCTTTGTGGATGACCCTGTATCTTTAAGAACCATGATGTAATTTTGATTTTATGATGTTCTATTCAGTAGTTTTTTATTTAGATACCTGCAGGTTAACCGTCGCACCCTAGACTACCCTCGCCAGCTGTTTGTGTATGCGCAGAATATTGTTGATGGGATGGAATACCTCACACAAAACAAGATTATTCATAGGTAGTGTACGCCATCATGAAATAGGTCCATCAGGCGCATTTAATTAACCAAATATAATTAGAGAACAAAAAATTGAATACATGCTTTTATTCAGAGTTTGTTAAAGCTATCTTTGAAAAGGGAAACGAGATTTCAGTTTATTGAAGAAAATTTGAATTAACAAAAATGTTTTGAATAGCGTTCATTATGGAGCTCAAAGTACATAATTAATAAATTAAACCAGTTTGCTTCTCTCATTTAAAATAACAGATTTAAAAACTATTTAGATTACATCTTAAAGGGAAAAATGAAAGGGTAGTATAGGCTGAAACCTGAGAATCTCAGGTGTTGAACGATACATATAAGACCTGATGTTCCTGTCTCGAGAAATTGATATAAAACTTTGTCAAATTTAAACGAAAATTCATTTATAAATGGAATTTTTTATAAGAGTAGTAGGTATAAACAGATCATATTCAACAAATACGCAACCAATCTGAAAGCGATTATATTCCAGAGGAGCCTGAGAATCTCAGGTTTGCTCCTATTATAACTTTTAAATTTTTATTCTGGATTTTTAAATTAACAGAATTTTAAAACTATTTTACATTAGATCTTAAGCTATTTTTCGCTTTCATATCTTGTTTTCCTCTGCTGTCTTGTTCATTACTTAAATTTTTATATAATAAAAATGAACAAAAAAATTATTGCATTCATTTGTATTCTATCCAAAAGTTTTTTTATTTAATTTAGCTCTGGTGTGAAAACATTATTATGCAAAATAATTAGCGAAATTCTACAAAAAATCTCGAATGAAATTTTTTTTCATTAATAGTTGCGGATTTCCATGCTTAAACATTCCTAAGATTTGAAAAATAAGTCCAATGATATCAGTTGTAAAATCTTTGTGATAAATTTAACTAGTTGTAACTTCTGATCGGCCTAGTCTTGAAGTTCTTTATTAGACAGTTATTGTTTTTGACGTTAAATGAGCTCCACAAAAATATGAGTTATACTAATTGTAAAGTTGTACTTTTGAAGTTTGCTTCTTTTACATTATGCAACTTTTTTTCTCTGATGCCGAACAATGATTGTAACTGTATAATCATATCAGAATTGCACTTGACGAAAAATACTTGTTGTATTCCCGTCTTATTCATCATTTCCTCTTAAACATAATCTAAACATTTCTATTGAACTTATTTTACACTTTACAGGCTCAATCCATCATTTCAAATTTCGTCTGTTCATCGCAACACATTTTATAAATGTTTTTTTTTATCCTCATTCTGTTTTATAGTGCACACTTTTTCTTATATGGTTTTTATTTTTCCTCGCTGTTACATGCTATATTGTTAAGAATTTTAGCGGATATTTTATACACAATAATTAAACCCTTTTCATCTTTGGCTCTGTTTATATGGGCGGGAGGGGGGGGGGGGCTAAACGTAGTTTTAAAATGAGCTGAAAGGTCGAGTTATATATTAAAGGTATAAATGTGTTAGAAATGTCAGGCGACCATCATCATGTTGTCTCATAATAGTTTGACAGTTTTCAATATAGATATGTCCACTATTCTATTCGCTAGTCTGCTTCTGAAAGATATATAATAAATATGTATATATATGTACAACGTACATGGTAAATGATATATCCTTTGAAATTGGAGAATTTATTGAAAATATTTATTAATGAAGGTGTAAAAGTATAAATAAGTTATATAAATACGATTAATGATTTAATATAAAGATTTTATATGGCTAATTCACAACGCTACTCTTTAAACCTTATTTTGAGTAGCTTTGAGGAAAAAATCGTCTTTTTATCTTGAGCCGTGTTAAATTCTGAAATTTTACTCATTGAACAGACAATGGTTTAAAGGGTATTAATCAAGAGTCGGTGGGAACTTGTAATTACGCCTACAGTCCCTTTAATAGTTCTTATTTTGATGTGTTTTGGGAAATTGCAGCAAAGAATATTCTGGTATTTGATCATCAATATATTTAGGGATCTGGCAGCTAGGAATATTCTGGTATCTGATCATCAATATAATTAGGGATCTGGCAGCTAGGAATATTCTGGCATCTGATCATGAATACATTTAGGTATCTGGCAGCTAGACATATTCTGGTATCTGATCATGAATATATTTAGGGTTCTGGCAGCTAGGAATATTCTGGTATCTGATCATCTATATATTTATGGATCTGGCAGCTAAGAATATTCTGGTATCTGATTCATGAATACATTTAGGTATCTGGCAGCTAGACATATTCTGGTATCTGATCATGAATATATTTAGGGATCTGGCAGCTAGGAATATTCTGGTATCTGATCATGAATATATTTAGGGATCTGGCAGCTAGGAATATTCTGGTATCTGATCATCAATATATTTAGGGATCTGGCAGCAAAGAATATTCTGGTATCTGAACATCAATATATTTAGGGATCTGGCAGCTAGGAATATTCTGGTATCTGATCATGAATCTGTAAAAATCTCTGATTTTGGTTTGGCTCGAGATGTGAGCAGTGATTACTATGTGATGCAGGTCAGGATTTGGGATAAAATTGTTTTGTTTTTTTTTAATTTACTTTTTTAGTTCTTTTTTTTAGAGGAGGGGGGGGGGATACTTTTTCTAAATTGTATTTGTATCGGAAATTATAACTTGATTTTGTCTTTAATTTTAATTTTAGAATCCTTTATAAAAATCTTGCTTTTTTGGTATGCAAGGTTGGATTCAAATTTTCATAGGTTCTAATTTTCTGAGAATAAATGATTTATACATTTGTTTTCAAATTAGATTTTAGAAATTAATTTGTTTACAAATTAAAAAGATTTGTATTGCGAATTATGATATGATTTTATAAAAGGCATTTTATTTGGCCAAAAGGCCCAAAGTTTATCGGTACTCAAAAATAATTCCCATGGGAACTAATTATACCCTGATTTAACAGTTTGGTCTTTAAAAAAGTAAGCTATGACTTCTGATCACAAATTGACCTTTCAAACAGAAATATTTAGCTTTTTCTTTATCACGCTTTTTTGTCTGAGGATGTTTTTAAAATAAAATATTTTAAACGTATATAACTCTGTAAGTTCAAGATTGTTGGATTGTAAACTAAGAAGGAATTCAACTAAAAGAAAGGTAGGTTGTAAACTAGATGGAATTCAACTAAAAGAAAGTTAGGTTGTAAACTAGATTGTATTCAACTAAAAGAAGGATAGGTTGTAAACTAGATTGTATTCAACTAAAAGAAGGATAGGTTGTAAACTAGATTGAATTCAACTAAAAGAAGGTTAGGTTGTAAACTAGATTGTATTCAACGAAGGATAGGTTGTAAACTATATATTGAATTCAACTAAAAGAAGGTTAGGTTGTAAACTAATTTCTCTAACCTTGCAACCTGTAAGTGAAACCCTTTGATAAACTTTAAATATTTGATCCACATGAATTCTTGGTTTGCAGCATTAAAGGTATACGACCTCAGGTTGCTAAGTTATAAGGGTTTGTAAATCAGAGTTTGAGGCGTGTAATCAGGTCCACATTTTGCTCCCGTAAATCCAAAAGTTCTAATATAATTCTTTCTATTTATTTACAAAACATCTGAGAGTTCTTAAAAACGTGATTAACATAAAATGAGTACGTGTACTTTATTCCCCCCCCCCCCCACATAAGGTAAACATTATTTAGAGTTCTCAATAGAAACCAATCTGATATATCAAGCTTATAAATTGTTTTTCTTAAAGGAATAATGTATTATGTTTTCCTTTTTCTTCTTGAATAAACGATCACTAAAAAAACATGGTTTTATTTTATTAATGTTTATTAAACTTTAAGAATAATTTAGATTGAACCCATCGCTATTAAAAGCAAATTAGGTCGGCCAAGGCGAAATTGAAATTCCTAATCCTAATTTTTTAAGAATGTAAAGAATGTTTTACAAATGGGAGTTAACACTTAATTAATCATAATAAAAGAATAAGTAGGAAAATAAATTTATACATTTTTAAGAAGTAAAAATCTGAAATAAACTCAAGTCTCCTTTTTTAATTTTCCAGAATTAAATTGAGTCTTTGTCCCGAATTCTGATTTTCTAATCACTATTTCTTAGCAACCCAATGCCCTATGACCTTAGATATTTCAAACCATAAATTCTGTTACATCAAATGGTCAAAATTTGAAAAATCAACGGTTTACACAATGAGGTTGCATAGATTTAGGAATTAAACAATTTGAGTTTGTTGCAAAATCTCAGTTCCCTTTCTTACAAATATATTTTTTTAATGTTGTATTTAGTCTACTACGAATATCCCCGTGAAATGGTTGGCGGTGGAGTGTCTTCTGCACAGCAAGTACAGTCACGCCAGCGATGTTTGGTCCTTTGGTGTTACACTTTGGGAGATGTTCACATTCGGACAGGAATACATTCATTCATTCTTTATTTTCTTCGCTTCATTCTTTTATTCATCCTCTTACTTGATTTCTCTGAATTTGATAGTTTTCTTTTTTTTAGAAAACGAAAACAAACCCAGAAAGCAATTAATTAATTAATTTATTTATGCAGTAGAATTATATATTACGAAACTGTTCAATTTCACTGATGGCTTTTTTATTTAAGGCTTACATAGTGAAATCCTGGTTTATAAAAAAAAATTAAGAAATCACTTTAAACATGAAGTTGGTTTACCACCAGACCCCCCCCCCCCCCCCCCCCCCCCCCTCCTCTTCAAAGCTCAGGATCCCCTTCATCCGAACCTGTCCTTTAAAAAATAGGATCCGGATCCAGTTTATTAAAATTTCTTGTGATGCTAATTTTTTTTATCAAAAACAACAATCCAAAATGTATTCTTCTATTTTCGCAAATTTTAATGGCAAAATGTTAAAAAGATACAATTGATATGATATTAATGAACTATAAAAGTAGAGAAAAAGGTTTTTTTATGTTTTGTATCCGGATTCATGGATCCTTGCAGTTTTGTGGATCAGGATCAGGATCGATAAAGCTAAATGCTGCGGACCCGGATCCAAGCCACTGTTTTTATTAGTCCCTTGAAAAGCAAATAATTATGACTGGTTGATTAGTCGGTTTAGAAATAAATCCTTCTTAGAAGATGAGATCTAATCAACTATATTTGTGTCTGGTTAGGTCAGCAGAATACTCAAATAGACCATAACGTTCTCTATGCTCCATTTTATAAAACAAAAGACACAGTTATGTAGATTTTAAGAAATCGCTAGCTAGACTTTAGTCTTGAAAAAAACGGTTGACTTCAGAAAATTATAAAAAGTAAAAATATATTCTATGCTCTAATTTTAAAAAACTTGAGGTTTTTACAGTTTGTTGAGATTTTAGAAATCTAGGCCGTGTCCCTTTCGAGAAAATTATTTTTTAAGCTTTTCTTTTAGACTTGGTAAAAAGAGTTTTAAGAAGGTAAAAAGTTTAATCGGGTCCGTCCTTGTATACGATTTTTGGACCCCCCACCCCCTTCCTATCAATTTTGTACATGACCACTTTTTCAGCAATTTTCAACAAAATTAGTATATTTAGGGTTAGGTTAGGTTAAGACACTTTCTGGGCCGAGGGCTGCGGCTAGTATAGGCTAAGGGGGCCGAGTGCTGCAGCTGGGACAGCCTAGGGGGCCAAGCGCCGCGGCTAGGACAGACTAGGGGGCCGGGCGCTGCGGCCACATGGTCAATTATATCCATGTCTTACATATAATATTCATGTACAATATTGAAAGGGGGGGGCGGGGTCCAAAAATCGTATATAAAGAAATTACCGTTTAATCTTTGCTCTAATTAAAAAAACTGAGGTTTTAACAGTTTGTATGTAGATTTGCAGATATCGCTAGCAAGCCACTTATTAGAAATTTCTTTTTAATCTTCCTTCTCTAGACTTGAAAAAGGCGTTTGACTCCTGAGTTTTAAGAAGATAATAAAGAAAGTAAAAAGTTTATCTCATATCTAATTTGAAAAAACACTGAGGCTTTTACAGTTTTCATGTAGATTTAAAAAAAATTTTAGAATATTCTTTTGAAACTAATTCTTTAGACTTAGGTTTGAATCCAGAGTTTTAATTCAGTTTTGACTTCAGTAATCTTATGCGTATCTTTTATCTTCTTAGAAAAATGTTGTAATGAAAAAAGTTGTACATTTAAATTTGTGAATTGAAGCCTGAAGGAAATACACAATTCTAAATCTGAACTTTTATTGACAAAAACAAACTGAATAAATCATATGTTAACAAAACATTGCTTGGAATGTACTTCATATTTTCCTTTGCTTGAAAGAATTCGTAATTTTAGACAATTACTTCAGAATTATCTGAAGAATTTTAATTTCTTAATTTCAAAGTAAAAAATATAGAATATTTTGTATTTGAAGACTCCTGCACTTAATGGCTGTGAATCATTTTTCCAACATGGAGAATCCTATCAGAGGCATAGACAAGATCTTAAGGTAAGCGAATCAACCTTGATCCTAGATCCTAGATCCTAGATTTTAATTCCTAGAGTTCAGTTTCTAGTTTTTAGTTCCTAGATCCTAGTTCCTAGATTTAGATCCAAGATCCTATACCCTATATTCTAGATCCTAGATCCTTAATCATAGATCCCATTTCCTAGTTCCTAGTTCCTAGTTCCTAGATCCTAGATCCTGGTTCCTAGATCCTGTAACATAAAGTTCTATTTCATTTATATCTTTGTAATCCGTAAATATAGGTTATTTAGTTCCTTAACCATAGTTGCGGTCAACTTATTTACCTGTATCTTTTTATATCTAAATACAGCAACACAGACTCTTGTTATTTAAGCATATTTAAACTGATAAAGTATAAAGCGGAGTTAGGCATTTTTCTACAATCCTAGTTCCTAGATCCTAGTTCCTAGTTCCTGGATCCTAGATTCTAGTTACTAGATCCTAGATCAACTCCTAGTTCCTAGATTCTAGTTCCTAGTTCCTAGATCCTATATCCTAGTTCCTGGATCCTAAATCCTAGTTCCTGGATCCTAAATCCTAGATCCTAGATCCTAGATCCTAGATCCTAGATCCTAGTTCCTAGATCCTTGTTCCTAATTACTAGATCCTAGGTATTATATGTGTATATTGTATTGTATAGGAGTGGGTGGAGAAGCTAGAGGCCGGAGTTCGTCTTCCACAAACTGATTTCTGTCCAAATTATTTGTATAGCAGAGTAAGTGTTTGCTTCTAATTATAAAACTCTCACGTCAAATTACATGTACGTTCAATCATAACTACTTTCTCATAACTTATATCAAACCTAAAGGACCGAAGCGGTCAGAAAGTGGTGCCAGCAATGTTGGGGGTTCAAATCGCTGAATCTCTGAAGAAGAAAAAAATCAGACAAAACACACACATATATATTTATAGATATACAGGGTGTCCAAAAAAACTGAATTACAGAGCTTTCGAATGACACCTTGATAGTAAAAATTAAACGAAAATTGTTTCCTCAGTTACAATATATTACCCCTACTGCACAGTTTTTTCTGGGACACCATGTATGAATATATATATACTTGCTTTATTCAGTCTATTTTTACTGCTGCAACCCAAACTAGATTAAGGTTAAAACTCAATTAACCGCTCTACCATCTGATCAAAGATGTAGTTAAACAGAGAAAGGTGTAAACCTAAGTAACCTTGGTTTTCCGTAAACTCATCTTCTTCAAAACAAAATTATCAAAGTTTTCTGACAGATATACTGCTGTTAGTTAAACAGTTCTCTTGCAAGGGTGTTTTTATAATGTCAGAAGTTTGTTATTTAAAGGGACCCTTCATGTAGCTCGTCTGATTCACAACAGTATCCTTAAAACCTTTATCTGATCAATAATGTGGATTATATATCCTTGTATTTCTCAAAAGTGTTCAAATCTAACAACATCTTTAATTTTTATGAAAAAGAAATCCGCTTGTCACTTTTATAAGTATATGGAGATAGATGTAAACCAATAGCTAACATTGCCTTTTCTCCAACTATTTATATAGTTTTAACAAGTAAATGGAGATAGATGTAAACATTGTTTTTTCTCCAACTATTAATATAGTTTTAACAAGTAAATGGGGATGTAAACAAATAGCAAACATTGTGTTTTCTCCAACTATTTATATAGATTTAACAAGTAAATGGAGATGGATGTAAACAAATAGCAAACATTGTTTTTCCTCCAACTATTCATATAGATTTAACAAGTAAATGGGGATGTAAACAAATAGCAAACATTGTGTTTTCTCCAACTATTTATATAGATTTAACAAGTAAATGGAGATAGATGTAAACAAATAGCAAGCATTATTTTTCCTCCAACTATTTATATAGTTATTAAGCTCGCAAAACTTATCTTTTACTAGAGAACAAATGTGAGAAAATTATCAAAGTTTGTTTTCTTCCAGACAGTAGACACATTACCATGGGATAACCATTTATCTTGAATAAGAGATTTCATGAATTTTGGACCAAGTAACAACAATGGGTATTTTTACTGTTGCTCGCTTCAATTAGTGATTAAAACATTCGTCAATGGATTAGAGAAGTAATTTAAAAATTGATTATTTTTGTTAATCCTTGGGATCCCAAAAATACCCCCTCCTTGGTCCATATTCAATATTTTCAAATCGTATTACTTCAAAAGTTTCGTGTTTGGGTTTAGTAGTTTAGGTTATAATACAAGGTTCCGGGCTATGAACAGGGTAGGGTGTTCCAATGAACATATAAACTGAAAGCCGTCTTTGATTTCCTATAATTGATAAATGACAAAGTATGTATTAATCAAAAGATTGTACTTCTTTATTTTTAAAATTGACGGGCATATTAAGCATTTGAACAATTTTGTCAACACTTTTTAGTGAATGTGAATATGGACAAAAATTTCTTAACATTGGTCAATAGTCAATTATGAAGCTGAAAAATTGATAGATCAGACTGTGGATATTCTGATCACACTGTGGATATTCTGATCACACTGTGGATATTCTGATCAGACTGTGGATATTCTAATCACTCTGTGAATATTCTGATCACACTGTGAATATTCTGCTCACACTGTGAATATTCTGATCACACTGTGAATATAGAAGATTTAAAATGGAATAAAGACGATGTAGAATTAGTTTCAATTTTTATGGGAACATCCCGCAGAGAAGATTGAAAATATTATTTCGAAACAAATGGTTTGAAGAAGATTGCTTAGACATTTTCAATTAAAATTCGTACTTTACAGTTCTTTGTTCGACACGTGGGGAAATGTTTCTTTAGTGAACAAAATCCACTATACAGAGTTCTAAAAAATAAGTGCTTAGGATCCATTTCATTCTTATGTGGAAACTAATCCAAATACAAATTGCGAAAAAGAATCTTTTTTTCTCTCTTTTCCTTATAAAGAAACTTGATTTAATTTTGAATTTCTCAGACTGTATAATGGTTGATCGGTTGTTATTTTAGTTGTTGTCGTTGTCGTCGTCGTCGTCGTTGTTGTTGTTGTTGTTGTTGTTGAAACGGACTTTTATAAATAACAAATTGCATAATGTACACCATGTAGGTAATGTTGCCGTGCTGGGAAGGAGATGCGGCAAACCGTCCAACCTTTACCCAGCTCCGCCATATGCTGAAACAAGTTGAGTTGGAGGCTACCTAGGACATGCATTCAACACCATCTAGTGGACATTTTTCACAATAGATAGTTCACTAACGTGTTGTTTAACCTTTCTGCCAAATTTATGATTTTATGCCAAACCGTTGTTGTTAGATTTTCCGTTTGTTCGTTATTTGAATAAGGTTACACGGTAAACAGGGTAGAGATCCAAATACATATTCATAATTGATAATGCCTGTTGTAAATATTTGTTATTTTCAATATTGTATTCAGGCGCGCAACTTGGCATTCAGTAATTCATAATATTTTGGGGCAAATTTTTATTTTTTGGGCAGCCTAATTTGTGTGTGAAAAATCTTAGATTTATATTTCAGGGGCAAATTTTGTTTTTTGGGGAATATTTTCAGTGTGGGGTGGGGGAATCTTAATTCTTTGTTTTACGGGCAAATTTTTTTTTTTGGGGGGGGGAATGCTTTTTCAGTTTGGGCAATTTCGTGTCTAAGAAATCTTAAATCTTTATTTTTGGGTCAAATTGTTTTATTTAAGGGTATTTTCAAAATATATGAAGAGGCTTTTTTTAATCCAGAGGTTATTTTTTTGTTGGGTGCCAAACTTCTTAATTTTGGAGTATTATCTTTTTTTAGGTATGGCTGAAAATTTTAAAGTTGCGTGTATTTATAAAAAAACATTTTGGAACAAAAAAATTAAATTTAAGTGCAAATTCAAAATATTTGGTGGCATTCATAAAAACAATTGTTAAATAAAGGGGCAAATTAAAGTCTGGTGGGGCAATTTGAATAAGAATGTGCTAGTTTTATTTTAAAAATCCAATTTTTGGGGGAATTTTTTAAAGAAAGGGGGCCAAAATAAAAAGAATCTGAGCTCATATTGAAAAAGGTCACAGTGACTTTGAGTTTGCTTTAAAAATGAGAGTAGGTTTTAAAAAAAATACTGTGGGGGCATATTCTTTGTTTATTTTTGAAAAAAATAGCTTTTTTGGGAACTATATGGACCCCTGTTAATGACTTCTTGCTCCCCCCTAACCAGGCTAGGAAGGGCCTTGCCCCCCTCCTTGTTTCGCGCCTGATAGTACAGGGTGTCCCAATAAACATGGGAATTCAGTGACGAATTCGATATCGTCTTTTAAAATAATTCTTTGATTTATTATATTGATACCTACAGAGTAGGCTGTAATCTGTAAAAGTTTCGTCTGCTATGTTCACATTTTGTTTGTTTATGTTTTGACTGTATACGGTTGTACTTGTACAAGAAAATTGCAGCATACAAACAGAGTAAACTTGTCCGTCTTCACTGTTTATCTTGCGGAGACATTATAGACAGATCTTTACAGTCTTACCCTTTTCATAAAATAAACTCTAGCAGACATAATAATAATATGGGTTTTGAAATTAGGTATTACAATGCTAATTCATAACAAAGACGATATCGAATTAGTAACTGAATTCCCATGTTTTTTGGGACACCCTGTATTATACTGTCATAACTATGTTATACTATAAGTTGAGTTCCTCTCTGATAAGCAATAATTTTTTAAATGAAAGTTAAATCTTTATATTTCACGATATAAAGTTAAGAAATTGTTTGTTTGTTCTTTTAAAAGCAGGATGAGAGGGGGAAGACACACCTATATTTCGTCCGGAAATGATGTTTTCTTATTTAACTCCTAAACTGCAACGTTTAGGTGATAGTGCGCTAGGACTTAAAGATCTACAACTAAAATTTGGCATTTTTAGTTGGGAATATAAAAATTGGTTTTAATTTGCTTGAGGGATTGTGAAAAAAGATCGGAAGAAATAATTGTGAGTTGTGACGTAATTTGTGGTCGGACGAAAAGAGGTGTGGCTTGCCTTCCCTCCTTCGCATGATCCTCAGCAATCTTGATCAAACCTGTTTTACCCTCAACTAAGCATTCTTTGTGTTCTGCAGTAATATGCAGTACACTCACCTAAGATATCAAGTAGTGTTTAGTGAAGAGTTTGTATATACACAGGATTATAACTTTCCTTCATTATTAAAATATTCAAATATTGAAGTAAACAGAGCATTTTTAAGAATTAAATACAATACAATACAAAATATTTGCAAATATTTTAGAATTAGCTAAATTTAATTTAGGATTAATTCTGAAGTCAGGGATTATTATAATTGTTTGACAAAACATTTAATTGTAAACCTTTCATTCGCATTTATTCAAATTTTGATATTTGAATTTCTAGTAAAATTATATTTATTTTTTAATGTTGTTGATAGTTTTTTTACTGTACCGGAATGTTATGTTGTACTGTGCTGTACAGTGCCCAGTACTTAGTATGTTGCGCTGTAGTTATCTTTGTACAATTTACATCTGTTCTTAAGTACATTACTTATGTGTACCCAATGTACCATTTACATTGTACATTGTACTGTACATGCTGTACTATATCGTGATTGTCTGGAGAATGGAAAAGTATAAAGTTTAATAAATATTAGAAACCCTTCCCTTCTTTTCTAGGTATAAACATAGAGTAAAGAATATATAGTATACAGGGATAGAAGAAGTTTCCTTTGTTAGTCCCTTAGGGCCTGAAAGGGGGTTCAAAGTGTACATTTTTTCTAAATGTTGACATATTATGTTCACATTCCGTTATTCGTTGTTTTTTTAAAAGTTTTTAAATAAACTCTGAATGGTGTCTAGGCGAAATAGAATAATTATTTAAATCATGATTCTAACGTAAATATTATTTTCAATATAACTGGTCTTTTTAAGGGAGTTCCAGGGCCCCAAATGTGTGGCGTACGCCTGCAGCACGGTGACAGTACAACAAAATGTCGGTTTTACAATTTTTTGAATTAACGACATTCTGTTCAATATCTGTAAAGTCTGACATTACCATCAATCTTTTAGAAATGAAAAAATTGTATCAAAGTTTAAAAAATGTTGCGGAAAATGTTTAACCATGTTTCCAGATGAATCCAATTCGATGTATAGTTGTGGACTTTAAAATGGAGTCTAATATGAGCGGGGGAAGGCAGGCGGCCATGAGCCACCACTATTTCCCCTTCCGGGCCACATATTAGCTTTTTTCTCTTCCGGCAGCCATGAGCCACCACTATTTCCCCTTCCGGGCCACCACATTTGACTCTTCCGGGCAAAACTACTTTTTTAAATGGTATATTTAGGGCCTTTAAAGTGTGATTTTTAAAAATCCAGCCGCGTCACGCTATAAATATATATTTAGATCTTTATATTTCAGTGTTAATATGTAATAAGGATGATTCCTCTTAATGTAAACTGTAAAACTTTTTTTTTTCCAAATCTAAATTCTGATTTGCCTAAAAAATGGCTTATTTTTAAGAGCAATATCAATTTTAAAAATGACGCACCATAAAATACACTTTAGTTTTGAAGGGAACCCTTGTGTGAAAATGTGCAATGTGTTAAGAGAAAATTGCAAAAGAAACTTTTTTTTTACAAAATCTGTAACGCCTAAGTAATGACAGTAAATATTGTGATTTTAATAATATTTTCTTATTCTTCAGACTACCCTGAACAATTTGTCTCTGCTCCCACAATACGAAAATTGACTTAGTTTACCTGCTAAAANAAAACAGTTTAAGAATTCAACACACAAAATATCAATCTTAAGTAGAATTGAAAAAATGGTTTGATTTGTGCTTTTTTGCGTGACGCGGCTGGATTTTTAAAAATCACACTTTAAAGGCCCTAAATATACCATTTAAAAACGTAGTTTTGCCCGGAAGAGTCAAATGTGGTGGCCCGGAAGGGGAAATAGTGGTGGCTCATGGCTGCCGGAAGAGAAAAAAGCTAATATGTGGCCCGGAAGAGGAAATAGTGGTGGCTCATGGCCGCCTGCCTTCCCCCGCTCCTAATATTTCTAAAAGAATCCTTTTAAATCCTTACCTTATCCAACCTACACAGATTTCAACTACTAAATAACAAATGAATTTAATTCTTTAAATCTGAGTATAGTTTTCGAATAGAAAAAATAGTAATAACTGAATTAACCAGCATTAAATAAGTGTTAAATCTGTCAATACAATATAAGTCCCCAAGGGAAAGGTCATAGAGTTGCAAAACATGTTCAATGTTCATAGCCTAATTTTTCAAGTTGTTGTGAATCGTTTTGCATCGTTAAAAAACGTCCAAGATCCAACTATATTATATTAAAGTTTGCTTTTATTAAACTTTGAGATCTTTATCCTTTAAGGAAAAATGATTTTAAAACAATTGTGACAAAACTTTAGTAAAATTAGAATAGATTGCTCATGCAGACTCTAAAGCTGAAAATTGTACATCATGAACTTGTCATTTGAAGAGGTCATTGAATACGTTTTACTTCTCGGGGTCAATCTGTAGAGTATTTTTTTTACTAATTTATTTAAAGAAGTTTAATAAAAACTAGGCCTCACCAACTTTAATGTGTTCTTTGTGTGTAAGGGGAGTCTGATTGTCATCATTATCACTCACATATCGGTAGCAAGCAGCAACTAATCTTCGTTCTAATCCTTTGAAATTCAACTTTTAACTAATCTGTCTGCAATATTTGTAAACAAACCCCCATAAATTTGTACAGAGTACAAATATACTTGCCGCAAACCTTTATATCCAATGTACTGTATGTCAGTATCTAGTCCATAGCTAAATTGCCATTTTCAATTTCAACTGTTACCCTCCGGTATGGGTAAGACGACATGAACAATCTATTCTAATTTATCTAGGGAAAAAACGTTTGAAAAAAAGCAAATGTTCAGAATAAAAATGATTTTCTAACACTGTGCCAATTTTTGATCCTAAAAGAAAATAGGCAAGAACGAACCAAGCAGAAGGCATATTTTTAAATTAATTAATCAATTTTGTAATGTAATTTGAAGTTTTGCAACTCCCTAGCATTTGGTTTTAGCTTAATTACTCACTTCTACTATTTGTAGTTTATAGATAAGATTGAGAACATGTTAAGCATACAAAGCGATTTGTATTTGATATCATTCTGATCAATTTTACGTGGGAGAATTCACATTTTGGTTCAACGTGATTCACTAGTTATATATCTCTCATTAACTTTGCTCTTCGTTATAAAATACTGAAAATCATATTTCTTTTTTCTCATCGTGAAATGCTATGTGACCTTTGCTCTTTTTGATGAGTTATCTTTGAAAGTTGGTTTAAACTGCAACACTTTTGTACTTTCTCAAGAACTTGAAAGCAATTTTCCAATTTGCAGCCTTGTGCAACATGATTTATGGTTTTTAATATTTAAATAAATTTTTCATTTTAAACCATTTATATAATAAATAGGGTTGCAGTTTTCCAACATTGTAGTTAAAACTTTAATGGAAGTCTAAATTTTTCTAAAAAGTGGAATCACATTTTAACTATAAACTCCACTAACTCCTATTAGACTATAGATTCATATATATTTTCTGTTTCCATTAGGGGATTTTCAAAATTAAAAATAAATTAAATTGATTGTGTAACTTATTTTTTTTTAAATTGACCGGCCATTAACCTTCCCTGGGGTCAAAAATAATGGTCTGATCGATTCAGCTGTTCATTGGATTTTAACCAACAAACAAATACATTTGACATGAAAATTGTGTGGAATTTATTAAGTTAATGATTTCTGCAACTCTAGACTTCATTATTCCTTTGTCAGTTCAATTTCATGATATGTAAGGCTGTAGACCAAACTCAAACTTTCGTTTGACATTAAAATTACGTTAATCGTACCTAATCTCAAATGGTAACATCTACTAAAGTCACTATAAGAAAAAGAAAGTGTTTGGAAAAAAGTCCTAATACCACAAAAAAAATTCTCAGAAAAGAAATTACGAAGAATAAGGAATTAATTTCGGACTTATTTCACGAAATTTTTCCCCATATAATTTCTTTCGAATTACTTTCTACAACTTGTTTCAAAAGTACTCACGTTGTTAAACCCGGATCTGACCAACATGAAACATTATTGAGAGATGTTATTTTTTCCATAATGAGATAATAATATTTTACGAGGTATTTATAATATTTTACGAGGTATTTATAATATTTTACGAGGTATTTATAATATTTTACGAGGTATTTATAATATTTTACGAGGTATTTATAATATTTAAAGAGAAAATATCAGGATCTCAAGATAATCTGGAGTTCACTGAGATATAGACAAATCTGAAACTTAGTCATAAAACTTTTAGACAGTCTCCACTGCTCGCAACGCCTTCGCCTTTTGGCTTTCTGTGCCATCTCAATTATACTTTTTGTAGGCCTAAACATATACATTTTATAAACTGCAACGCACTTTCATCTAGTTTAAGTTTAAAAGTAGCAGTTAGCAAAATACTGCTCGATTTTGTATTGAGAGCGTACACATCTTGGTTTGCAGTGATTTACAAAGCTAGCAGCATTTATTTCTCTCTAGTTCACTATAGAAGGGTATCATTTATTTGGCGTTTTGTCTTATATAATCTATTATATTTATACTTTACAGCCTGATCTAGCTGGTAAAGGGCAGCCCGGTACATGAAATAGTTGTACTGTACTGATCTAGCTTCTTAAAGGCAGCCCGGTACTTGAAATCTTTGTACTGTACAGCCTGATCTAGCTTCTAAGAGGCAGCCCGGTACTTGAAATCTTTGTACTGTACAGCCTGATATAGCTGCTGCAGCCCGGTACTTGAAATCTTTGTACTGTACAGCCTGATCTAGCTTCTAAGAGGCAGCCCGGTACTTGAAATCTTTGTACTGTACAGCCTGATATAGCTGCTAAAAGGCAGCCCGGTACTTAAAATATTTGTACTGTACAGTCTGATCTAGCTGCTATAACTCAGCCCGGTACTTGAAATATTTGTACTGTAAAGCCTGATCTAGCTGCTAAAAGGCAGCCCGGTACTTGAAATGAACTAGAGTTATTTTTCTACAATCAAGGAGGAATGTTCTTAATTTCAGGAGTTCGATCAAAATCACTTTTATTCTAACAGTGTTAAAAAGTTTTTATTATTGAGTTGGAACTGTGTAAAAAGTAAATAAAAATTAAATTTTTGTTTAAAACATATAAAAAAAATATTACTCGAAGTTTAAAATCGTTTTAACAAAACAAAATAGTTTCAAGAAATATTACTGTTTCATGCAAATTCTAAATTGCAGAAGTGTATTTCTGGTTTTGCATTTGTCAGCTTGCTTTGGTCGGAAATATACATTATTCCGTCTAAAATACATTTATAATATATTATATGATATTAGAATATATAGCTCTAACTTTACTTTTATACATCATTCCGTCTAAAATAAATTTATAATATATTATATGATATTAGAATATATAGCTCTAACTTTACTTGTATACATCATTCCGTCTAAAATAAATTTATAATATATTATATGATATTAGAATATATAGCTCTAACTTTACTTTTATACATCATTCCGTCTAAAATACATTTATAATATATTATATGATATTAGAATATAAACTCTAACTTT